TACAGAAGAGGTAGAGAAAAAAATAACACTTTCTCAGGACCCAAGAAGGGGGTGAGAGGAGACATCCTTCCTTCCTCTGCTTCTTCCTATAGCTGTGGGATGCTCCCTTAAGTGAATGTTATTTTATCATGTGAGGAAATGTGTTGGACTTAAAAGTACTGATCTTTACTGTGTCCTTCCCTTAATCCTTCCTCCTCTAGGCCTCTTCATTATTCTCCCACTAAAAGCAGAACTCCCTTACTAAACATGTTTAAGAAGCCATTCACCTAGTCAGTCTGCCTTAAAACACCAAAGGTGTTTAGGAATATCACCCTCCTCTAGGCCCTCACAGCAGGAAGCACCGATCATTTACTCATCTCAAAGTACTACCTGCCCTCCTGCTCCGTGCCAGGCAACCTACAAGCGTGGGAGCTACTGGGGCCAATGAGCTGGGCAGGAGCCCCGCCTCCCAGTGCTTTCATGCTGGCCAGGAGGATGGATGTGAGATGAACACTGGTCACAGTGAGTGGGAGTGTCCACTGGGAGCCAGGGTGACATCCTCTCAGGTTAGGAAGCCTGAAGGAAGGGGGTGAGGGAGGGAGAAAGAGAACAGGCTGTGGGATCTGGAAGGACAGAGGCCCTAAGGATGCCCGGATGGGTAGCGCAGGGGCAAGGAGGGCTGAGACCAGTAGGGCCTTACACACCACATGGCGGGGTTTGCCTGTGGGAACAAACGGCAGCCGTGGCTTCCCCTGCAGGCTCTGACCACAAGAAACCTGTCCACCCGGCAATTCTGTTTCTGATGGTGATACACATACCATCCCTCGGTATTCAACAGTAACCTGCCTCTCATGAAACTGCCCCCTGGACCACAGTCCCTGGGCCTGACCTACATGAAGCACCAAATTCTAGCCTCTGCCCCAGCAAAGCTACAGGCCTAGACTGTAGGGGCCCCTCTAAGATGATGGAGGGGAACCATTTATGGGCACCCTCTTTAGCCTGGGCAGGGGCTACCAGCATCCCTGCCTCCCCAGGACAGGAGGCTGAAGGGCCATGCCTGGCAAGGGTGCTGCCAGGAGCGGAGGGCCATGCTCTGGTGCCTGCTCTCCCCGGCTGGCTGACTGCCCTTTCTTGACTGCCCATGATGCAAGAAATATCTTCCACCTTTTGGCAAAGTGTTTTTAAAAAGAGACAGCAGAGAAATGTGGGGCCTAGACTTCTTTTAAAAAGGAAAGGGGACCCATGTCCGTTGGGTCCACCCTGAGGGCAGCCAGGATGCCACAGTGGGGTAATAGTGCTGTCTGAGCAAGAAGCGGAATTAAGTTTCTCCTTTGAAATTTGGTGGGAAACTACCACAACGTAGGCCGCCAGCTACTGAACCACCTCTGTGTGTTTCTGGCCAGCTCCTTCTCTAGTTGAGAGGTTAGCTCCGGTCACCTGGTGCCACAGCACACTGAGATCTGATGGGATGAGATTCCTGGACCATGAACCAAACTCAGACATGTGGCTACTTACAGAGGAAAGAGTGGAAATCAGACTGAAGTCTGGGCAGCAGCAGGGTGCCGGTTTGGGAAAGATAAAACAGGAGGAGGAGAGAGAAAGAGCAGGCTACATGGAGGCGGGCGGTCCCAGCACGGGATCGGAATGGCAGAGCGCGCCACCTATGCTGCCCGGGGGGCCCGGAAGAGCACCTAGCCCAGGAGCACCACACATGGAAGAGATCCAGAGCTGGGCTGTAGTTCAGAAAGGATACCTCAAATCCCCCTGAGAAGTGAGAACTGCCCGTTAAGAGGGACAGGGTACCCTAAGGTGGAGCTATTCACGGGGTGGGGGTTGTATCACAGACAAGGGGCCGGCTCACCCAATCCCCCACCAGGCTGGGCAGAGATGGCCTTTGTGCTCCTGATGTGCTGTCCGTACCCATGTGGCCTGTGTACTTTCTTCATCCACTTAGCAAGTGAACTTGGTGGCTCTGCGGTCCGTCCCCCTCCATCAGGTGGCATTCTCCCAGCTAGTTTTGGGACAGCACAGAGCTTCTCCCCTCTCTGCCCACATGACCGTAAGCGGCCAGGCTCAGGGTCTGGGAGCACAACACACATCTTCCTCCAACTGTCAGAGTTGTGGGAGGCTGGTGGGTGTGTCTGTGTCCACACCTTCCTGCTTAATACCCTGGATGCCGTAACTCCCATCCCTTGGATCTCAAATCTAAGAATAGACAGTCTACCCTGTGCAGGTAGATTAACATCTTCAGTGATACAGTGAACACAGACATGCTCTAGTATCACACAGGCTGTCAATGAGAGGCTTTATTTGGAGAAAATGCTGAAATACGGCACGCAAAGGTGGGCCCTACACCAGCTCCTCCTGCAAGCTTCCCATCTCAGTGAATGGCAATTCCACTTCTCAGGTTGAAAGCTTTGCTTTTGGCCTGACACTCCTTTACACCCCACATTTGGTCTCTCAGTAAATGCTGTGCCTCTTCCTTCAGACATATATATATCAGTGCTTGACCACCTCTTACACCTGCTCTGCTACACCTGGCGCAGTGTCCCTGCAGCTCTTGCTGGCTTCCTTCCTTCCTTCCTGAGTCTTTCTCAACACAGCAGCTGTAGTGCATGTCAGATCAAGTCACTCCTCTGCTCCAAGCTCTCCATCTCTGAATAAGGGCCCAAATCTAAGCCTGATTTGCCCACTCTCTACCTCCCTAATCGTCTCCTACTACACTCTCCACTCCGGCCACAAGAGCCTCTTCACCAAAGTCACCAGGGAACTGCATGCTTCGGGTCCTTTGCACTTGCTCTTGGCTCTGTCTGTAATGCTCTTTCTTCCCCAGGCAGCGATGTGGCTCAGCTCACACCCTTTCTCAGGTCTCCACTCAAAGGCCACTTCCTTTGGGACCTTCCAACCACTCTACCCTCACTGCCCCCATGACTGATTGCTCCTTTCCTTGATTACTCTTTTTCTTCTGTACATTTATCACTATTTTTTTTTAAATATCTTGTTTGTTACTAAATTTCTCCCAACCATATAAGAATCATGAGGGCAGAGATTGTGTGTGTGTGTGTGTGTGTGTGTGTGTGTGTGTGTGTGTTTTGTTCACTATTGTGTCCCTAGCACCTAGGATGATACCTGGCACATGGAAATGAGGTGGACTTTTCTTTTCCAATAGTGTGATGTATTTTACTTTAAAAATGATTTCCCTGGACTTAAAAAGATCTGAGAAAGGAAAAGGACTTCCCTTAGGATTGTACAATAAAACTAGGTAGTACTTGGGGAAGGAGCAGCTTGTTTCCATGCAGAGAATCAAGGACTAGAATCAATTAGGGTCACCCCTAGTCTGGTCCCAGGGGGTACTGAGCCAGCTTACAGAAATCCAGCCAATTCCATCATGGGCTGTTATAAAGTCCTTTAGACCTGGCTGGGTTGCTCAGTTTGTTGGACTGTCATCCCTGTACACCAAAAGATTACGGGTTCGATCCATGGTAAGGGCACATATCTAGGTTGTGGGTTCGATCCCCAGTTGGTGTGTGTTTGAGAGGCAACAATCGATGTTTCTCACATCGATGTTTCTCTCTCTCTCTCTCAAAAGCAACAAAAAAAATGTTCTCCAGAAAAGATTTTTAAAACTTAAAAAAAAAAACAACCAAAACAAATAGCACACCCAAGAAAAACTGCTGCCATGTTTAAAATAACACTAAACTATCTCTAGAATGGCTATAAATGTTAGAATCTGGGGAGCAAAAAGAAAACTGAAAGGCAAGCTCTCTCACTCAGGGCCTCCAAACCTGCTGGCTCTGGGAGTCTTTCCAAAATGTTGTGTCTGCCAGAGGATGTGTTACGGGAACTGAGTTACTGGTCCATATAATTCACACTCTGAGGTGGGAGGTCATTACCAGAGCTAATTAGAGTAAGACCTCAAGCACACCAGCAGCTAAGGAGACTTTTCCCTGGCCACTCTCACCATCAGTAAGTCCCCTCAAAGTACCACCAGGTCTCCACTTAGAGGACTGCAGAAGGGAAGGCTTATGGGTGTCACCCAACTGCAGGTGGTCACCCAGTGAGGGTAAAGGAAGTGGGGCTTCTCAGAAGCCCTACAGACTTTCCTGGCCTTTTAGACACCCCCCCCCGCCCCCTCTCCCCGCTGCGCAATCTGTCCCATCTCAACTTTAGCCTTTCTGGCCCTTCCTCCCCTCTTTCAACCTCCTCTGCCCAGTCTCCAAAGGGCAGCCTGTGGGATGGGCGTCAGCCAGGCAGTAGGAAATGGGAAGCCACAGCAGTTCTCTGAAAACTCCAGTCCCCAAGAGCCAGGACTAGTCACAAGGCGAGGGAGGAGGCCGCTGCAGTTAATCAAATCCGAATGTTGGACCCACCCCTGGGGTGGGGACCCTAGCTTTCCTCTGCAGCTGCCCGCAGAGCTGCCCCTCCCGAGCTGTGACAGAAGCCTGCGTGGCAATTCGCACTCAAGCTTCTCTGTCAGCGGAGAAGAGTCGCGGCCCCTCCCAGGGAAGGACTCTGAGGGGCGGCTTCCAGACACGACGCGACTCCCAGCTGGCCACTGTCCTTAATTCTTCCCAAACGTTTCCCCAGCCCAGCCCCCTCCTGCCGCTGTCTGGGCGGGCCGGAGGGTCGCAGCCGGTCCTCCCGAAAGTGGGGAGAGAGGCGATCGCTAATCTGGACCAGGGGCTGAGACTGAGAAGCCAGGAGGCCACCCCTACACTGACCGCCGCACTGGTACTGGTCAGTGACTCGTCCTAGGTGACGATCAGGGACGGCCTCGGGGCTCCATGGGCCGAATCCCTGTCCTCTTGCCACTGAAGCCCTTCATCTCGGAGTAGAGAGTGGAAGTGTCCCCTATCCCGTGCCGGGGACGAAAGGGAGAGCCGCAATCTCTGTTTAAGTAACTTCCCTTTGCCTTCCCCTCTCCGTTTCATGCACTTTCAAACGATCTCGCAACCAAGTCTCCCCCTAGGACCTCATCCACGGCGTCCCCGGCCTCACCCCGGAGCCCGCGGCCCCCGCACCTTGGCGCAGTGGCGCGCGCGCCAGCTCCGGCCGGTCCTCGGGGAAGGCGTCCCGGAGCCGCTGCCACAAGCGGCCCAAGTCGGCGAAGCTGCGGTGCAGGTAAAGCACGCTTCGGTCCGACCACTCCGTGCGGATCTCGAAGAACTCCTCCTCGTCGCCGCGCCGGCTGACGATGAGCCTGCGAATGCCGTTCACCCAGCAGCCGCGTACGAACATGTTCACAAGAGAGGTGCCCTCAAACACTGCCGAGGCCATAACGCGGGCCAAGCATGCCCCAGCCTCCGGGGCGCCCTCGGCCCCCGCTGCCCGCCGGCAGGGGGCGCGTCCGGGCTGGTGTGTGCCTGGAGTCGCCCTGGGGTCTGTCCAGGGTCGCTGGGCGCTGTCCGGGATCGGGATCCGTCGGAAGTGGGTCTCAGGTCTGATCAGGGCCTCGCGCACACTTCTGAGACAGCGCAGCGAGAGTCGCTCTGGCCGGAGGAGCGGCAGCTTTATAAGGCTCTTCCCTTTGCGGGCGGCGCTGCTGTCGACGTCGAGGCCGCAGCTGGTCCGCTTTCCTCCGCCTCCGGTTGAGAGGGCGTGTCGCGGGACGCACGCGGAGGGGGTAGCCTGGCTCGCCGCCCACGGTCCCGCGCTGCAGACCCCGGAGCCCGCGCTGTTGGGGCCGCATGGACCCCTGCCGGCGGAGTTGGGGCCGAAACCCGAGCTCTCGGCCCCGCCTCTGCGCCCCCCGCCCGAACCCGGACAGCCCTCGCCGCTTCCTTCCCCCGCGGCCCCGGAGCTGCCCGCCGGTGACTGGACGAGAAACTGGGAAGGGAGGGTGGGAAGGGAGGGCGTGGCGGGCCTACGCTCTGGGGTTCTCGGAGATCTTTTTCTTTCCCGTTCACGATCCGCGGGCACGCTCCGGGTCGGGGGTTTGCGCGCCCCACCCGGCCCACGACAGGGCTGGTACTTAAGGGTTGTCGGGCAGGGGCTGATGTCTGGGCCGAGCGCGCAGGGAGGCTTCAGGGCACACTCCGAACCCGGAGCCCGATTCGCCGGGCGTTAGGACTGTTTGCCTCGTCCTTGTCTTCGCGCCACCGCCGCACCCCCGCCCCGCGTTCACCCCGCGTCCGTCCCGCGTCCGTCCCGCTTCCCCCGCCCTCCGCGCATTCCAGTCGTGCCACAGCCCGGCCTAGGCTGGAACGCTGTCTGCAGGCAGACAGACGGGGACGCGGCCAGAAAGACAGACAGGGGGCAGGCCTCAGCCAGGCAAGGGATGTCTCCCAGGATCTGGGCCCTCAGCCAAGGGGTCATCCTCTAAGAGGGGGGACCCCTCTGCTAGGATCCGCAGCGAAGGAGTCATCCTTTAAACGGAGGACCACAGACTGGTTGTGGGGAAGAGAGTCCCGGAGTGAGCCGGTAGCCTTTTGTGAGACAGGGATTTTGGGAGTCCAACCTGGGAAACCGCCCGCATTGAAAGAAATCTGGTTCACAGTGACCGGGATTCATTTGCAGCCTCAGGCTCCTTAGGCTGCCCCTAACTAGATGATTTCAAGAAATAGTTTAAGAATTGAATTTGATTCCAGAAATATCACATCGCTTGCTCTAGGCAGGGGTGAGAGAGCCAGGGCCAAGCCCTACAGCGTTTTGCAGAGTGACACGAGTATGAGGGAATACTACATAGCTACAAACATGAATCCGTTAGGAAAGTATAGCTAGATACCAGAAACAAAATGTCAATGCAAAAAAAAATACCAATAAGAATGACTGATGGGTATAGCATGAACATGTAGATATATATGACAAAACAACACTAAGTTTGGGAAGATACCTGCCAAACCCATAAAGGTACCTTGGGGGTGGTGAACAAGTAAAGATGGAAAAATGTCAAGAAAGACTTTTGTTTCATGTATAATATGCTTATATAAATTTCAGAAATAAATGAATGCACATATTACTTATATAATTTTTAAAGTATTTTCTGATGAAAAGGATGATGGAAGATTCTCTAAAACAAGTACTGGAACTTCTGACTCCTGGTCTTGCCCAGCCTATGACTAAATCCAGTCCTATAATCTCAAACTGCCCACCTGAAATTGCTTTGCCAGGATTTGCCTTTCCATGCATTAAGAATTTAAAACAAAATTTTCAAAAGCCCGTACTGTTGTGAACCAGTAAATAGCAGAAAGTGTGCTGTAAACACCTTTGAGGACCTGTGTTATAAAAATGTTAAGAACAGATAGATATGCAGGAGCTGGAGTGGTTTCAGGTTGTAAATCAAGCTGATTAGCTAGTTCAGTGCCTCAGGCTACATGATAGAATGTGAAAATGGCGAACAAAGAGGAGCTCTCTGGGTCACGGTCCATCTTCTAAGCCTGGTGTAGAATTACACAGGTGTATCAGAAAAGGAGGCCTGGTTGTAGGTAAGAGCTTTGGAAACCAGATACTTCAATCCGGTTAATAAGAGTAAATAATGGGAATAAAAGACTTCATGAAATTCAAGGCCTTGACTTTCAAAAGGATGTTCATTTTTCTATTTTCTTCGTCAGTTGTTCTGTTAGCCTTTTTTAAAAGTTTTATCCCTTCTCTATAGCCTTCAAAGTTCAGAGAAGGATGGTGTAGAGGTTGACAATCAGTCCTCCAGGTCACCCTCTTGGCCCTACTCATCCTAGACCTGACAACGCAATAGGAAGTGGGGAGCTGCAAGAATCTGAAAAATAAGACTGACTACTCAGCCTAAAACTGGAAGTGAGATTTGGGTGAGGGAGGTGAGCCTGGACCCAGGGTGGCTTAAACCCCACAGGTTCCACAATTTGTAACCACTCCTTCCACTCTACCTCCCCCAATATACAAAGATAGAGCTAAAGAGCCTTTTTTTCAGCACTATCTGTGCGTGGGATGGGTTTGATAAACTCTTCATATGGGCACCATCATTGAGTCTTGAGTTATGTCTCACCGGTTGTCCTGGACATGAGGAGGTAATCAGTGAGCATCTCGCATACCACAAACCATTTCTCTTTCCCTTCAGAAGAGCAGCAGTGATGGGGTCTCACAGCTGCGAACATTTTCAGACACGTTAACAGATCTGATCCTCACAACAGCCCTCTGGGATGGGGTGGTGGAGGATAAGTTGTCCCAAACCCATGGCTAGCCCCAAAGCAAGGGCCTCCCTGCTGATGCCCCCCAGCCTCATCTGGCCTTGGTCCCTGCCATACTGGGCTTCGTTCACTGGCTCAAAGTGCCCACGAGTACCTTCCCACCAAGAGCCTGCTCCAGGGCCTGGCAAGCTTTCCCCCTCCCTCTATTCTTGATTCCCACTCACCCTTTAGGCCAGTGTTTCTCAAACCTTAATATGCCTCATGAATCCCCTGGGATCTTGCTAAAGAGCAGATCCTGATTTGGTAAGTCTAGTTCAGGCCTGAGAGTCTGCCTTTCTGACAAGTTCCCAGACCTCATCATCTGCAGGCTGTTCTGAGTAGCGAGGCTGATTCTAGCATAAACCAGACAAAGGGAGTCTGGAAAGTCTCCGGAAACACTGTTGTACAACTTCATAGTGCCTTGCTTCATAATTGCAACGAAGCATTAATGATGTTTTCCTGACTGGAATGTAATCTCTACAGGGACAGGGACTAGAACGGTCTCATTCGTATTTGTATACCTGATGCCGAACACAGAGCCTGGCACACAGTAAATGCTCACTAAATATCTGTTCAATTTATAAGTGAGCAAAGGAAATGAATGACTGAGTGCGCCAGAGACCCAGCACTGTTCTGCCCACCAAAATGATGTCAGGACTTGATTTCCAATAATTGGGCCTTTAGGAAGATTGCATGATTTATCAGTAAATCCAGATTTTCCTGGAAACCCAAATCCCAGGCATTGAGCCATCTTAATTTAAAAGGGAACAAACCAAAATGTTCATGGAGATGATCCCTCAAGAGTGGGATGACAGACTTTTCTTTTGTGCAGTTTTCTGTTTTCCAAATTTAATGCAATAAGCAAGCATTGCTGCAGTAAGTTGAAGGTGGTGTTAAAATTTTATCTAACAGATTCTTTCTCGTACTATCCACAGGGTCACCTCTGTGTTGCTGCAGATGCTGAGCAAGCTGTGGAGTCAATCATTTGTGCTCCTAGTGTCTCAGTCTCCTGACTACAAAGTAAGGTGGGGCTCCACATGACTGCTCGGGCATGAATTCTCTCTGAATCTGTATTTTTATCCAAGCATTCCTTCTCAGCCTTGTTACTCACAAGAAATCCTAATCCCATTCCTCTTGACCTCATCTCTGCATGTTCCTGCCAACCTGAATATTGTTTCATGATGCCCTTTTTCTGAAGATGGAATTTTTAAATTTAAGGGCCAGTAAAAACTGACTTCACCCATAGCTGCAACTGAGGCATTTGCATACATTTAAATCACCATTTTTGAACCTGATACTGAAAAATCAGTGAAAACCCAAGACTGTTCAAGGCTCTTAGTATTTAGTCACAACACTAAATAATCCCACTTGGAAGAGCTGCTGGAGTTTTACACTTTTCAGTTACTGGCATTCAGAAAATATTCTAAAAATAAATATAGGGTGGGACAAAAGGAGGTTTACAGCTATTTGGAAAAGAATTCACTGATTAATAAATAATACATGAATAATAATACATGAATAAACTCTGTTGTTTCCTGTACTAACAACTGTAAACCTACTTTCGCCCCCCCCAACCCCCGACATAGCCTATGGACAAACGTTTGTACTTTTTCCAACACCTTACTTCAGTGGTGTGAATGCATGAATATATGAAATGACTTAATGTATTTTTTTGTTTGAAGCTAAACATTGTTTTCATATTTACTAACTGCTTGAAACTTTCACTCAAGCTAACTGCTTTCTATTGGCTGCCATGAGCGAAGTTAGCTAGTTTGTGGAAACATATATATAGAAAAAACCAAGAAACTTTGAAGATCAAAATTGAAATAGTCAGGGATCAACACTGTAGCTTTAGACATAGTGCCTGCCCATAATATTTATACGAGGGCTACCTAGGAAGATAAACATCAGGCCTCTTTGCATGGTTAGATTAAATAGAGGATCATTGTTACTACTAGGATTTTGCACTTCCTTATGTTTTAAACGGAAATAAAATTTCCATGCCTGAACTTTATTATTACCTGTGTTGAGCTAACATGGCTGCTCATATTAACCAGCAATGTTAGACCAAAACAAGTAATAAGAACTTTTTAATTTTACTATATAGATACATAAAGAGACATAAATGTCTTATTTGATTCCACAAAAGATCTAAAATGACTTGCCAAAATATTTATATAATAAAAATGAATAAATTAAAATCAAAGCCTTAAGGAAATACAGTAGGAGAGAAAAAGGAGCAGAAGAATATTAATATAACCTTATGCAGTTCCTAAGTATGGATTGCGAATGGCTTCCCTCCCTGGCTTCCCGCCACAGAGTTAAACTCCAAAACCTCAGCCTGGCCTCCAAGACTTCTATGTGACTGACATATCACCCCATCACCCCCGGTCCCCATCTCATCCCCTACCACCCTGCCCCCTCCCCCG